GAGGCTTGCAAGGCAAGGGTTGCTGGATTTCGCATTAGCGGGATCCTCCAAGGGTTCAATGTGCAATGTGCTGCGAGGTGGCTGCTGTTGCCAAAGTCTATGTGAGAGATGTCCTTTGGGTGGGTTAAAGTTGCAATGAAGTCGGTCTTGCTGCATTGCATTAGCGTATGTGATTTTGTTAGTATGAGCTGACACCGAGTTATCCGAGGCCCCTTCGGTGTGGTTCGGATTGCAGCCATGATGCACATTGGTAGGGTCAGCAGACAGTAGTTTTTCCACTTGAGCTACGCTGGGCAGGGTTCTGAGATCTTGATAGGGCAGGTATGATGCGTCAGCCGAATGTATGGGGAGAGAGCCTGCCGATTGATAGCCTTGGGTGAGTTAAGAATGCAGTGAAGGAATCTCTGAGTGGCTAAAAAATATCGTCCAGCCAATGCAGGAGGGAAAAAAGTAGATTGATGACCTCAATCAAAGTGAGTTAAAAATGCAGTGAAAGAGCCGCATCCTAAGGGGTTTGTACGGAGTGCCAACAGCGAAGCATGAGGAAGGGAGATCGTTGAACATCAGAGCTAACTACACGCTCCAGGCTCTCCCGCGTGACTCTACAGCCAGATCTATATCATTACCTGATCTCGTTAACTTGACTTTGCCGTCAGCGCGTTATCGTGTTATCCTCAGGTCTGTAGATAGGGGAACCTGGTCGATTCTAGATTGCCTGCTTTGTAGTATCAAATCGTTGTCAATAAGGAAGATTGCGTGCATGCTGCCTGTATCTCCCTAAATGACAACAAGGTATGAAGCCATGTCTGAGATAGATCTCTGGCGCAACGTGCTCCAGGTGTGGTACTCTTCTTTGCCTAACTTGTCTGATGTATCATGTGACCAGCAAACTCAAAGCCAGTAGGTGTATAGCTAACAGTCTGACCGAGGAGGGTTAATATTGCAGTGCAGAATGATATGAACCTTAAACTGGAGAGTAAAGGTCGGCATAATCAAGATTGCGATTTGTCTCAGTAGGTAGATACTACCAACGTCTCATGGAAGCTCTGATTCGCCAATAGAAGCCTAGGAGCTGCGTCGGTGGCGCGGTGTCCAGGGATGGGCAAGCCCATCATGCCAGTTGAAGTAGGACGAGAGGGCCAGAGACGGGTTGATGTCCTTGGGGTAGGTTAGAAACGCTGTGAAGTAGCCAGCAGAGGGGTGCAGCGAAAATAGATCAAAGACATCGGTAGGGCCTAATCTAGTCTTGAATTTATTTCTCAATCTCAATCGCAACCGTTTGACCGTAAAGATGCACCGTATCCCCCCTCATCCTCACTGGCATTCGCTTCCCTATAGACGGAAAAAATATCTTCATCCTGGCCGCCCATAATAGCTTGGAGATGCGCAATAGTCAGCTCCTCGCTACCATTCTGTCTTGCCCTCTCGCTTTATGCACAGGTAAAGGCCCAGACTGAACGAAGAGTTTGTTCTCTATGTATGCTCGAAGCTTCGACCTTGTTTCGTTATGGCCTCTCACTGAGTGTCGGTAGTGATGTCTAGGATCGAGGTCTAGCACACCGATAACGACCGAAAACTTCCACAGACATTTCTGCGAGGTAAGATGGAACACTCAACCTCGGCAATCATTGCTGCCTCAGTTCATGAGAAGACCGCGAGTTTGACAGTTGATACCCTACGACTTGGGGCTCATGCTTGACTTGCGATAAACCTCGACGCCGTGCGGGCACAAGTTTGGCTAACGCGTTCTTGAATGCAACAAGGCCATAGTACCCTGTACGTGAAAGACGCGCCGTTTACGGCTCCGTGGAGGACAGCAGAACTTGTTAGAAACTTCACCACAATCCTCGGCAGTTTCCGAGTAAACTCGCTGAGTACACTGTTCGAGATATTTCTGATTTTGGTCGTCATGTTTCTGATTCGAATGAGTGAAGCTTTTTGCCATGCATTCAGCGCCCATTCCTTCATGGCCTAGGCAGAGGAACCATTCCTTTGGGGTGAGTTAAGAATGCAGTGAAGGCTCACACTATGCAATGCACATCGACCCCCGCCTACATTAGCGCCTGGCCTTGGGACGCACGGTGGGGTTCGCCTGACGTACATACATACCTACACCTGCAGTGGCTTGCCAATGTGTGATACTCCTGGGAAGGCTTCTATTTCAGTTAAAGTACGGTACAATTCTTGGATATATCCCATGTGAATCTTGCCATACGGTCGCGCGAGACTTCGAGAGTGATCTTTCACAAAACTGTGTCCCAAATCACTTTTAAAAGGTAGGAGAAGCTTGACGTATGCATCCACGTACCACCCTATCTAAAGACCAGCTTAGTACAATAGGTATTCACCTCAGGTAGTTCCAGCCACTTCGTCTCGTCGCTTTAAAGAATCGACTCGTGGAGCGGAAAAGACTTGATGCGTGTACACTTCTAGATGACGGTGTCCTATGGGAGGCCTGCTTCGCTGATGGGAAGCCTTAAGCTTCGCCAATAGGCTGTCAGGGCCACGCTTAAGTGCTTGATGTACCAGAAAACGCATGAGCAAAGGCGTCCGTAAACACATCCTTAGTGTGGGCTAAAAATGCAGTGAATGGAAAAAAGGGTGTTCAGGAGCCCGACAGCACACCCTCTTTTGTAACAACCCAACTTAAACCGGCATTACTGTATCACCACTTTCGTCGACCTCAGCCTCAGTCTCACTCATATCCTCCTTTGAATGGGAGGTTTCTCGTAGTGCTGAATTGAGGTCATGGCATCACCGGTTTGAAAACCAGATTCATTTGATATAACAGCGGCGACGGCAATCTCACCATCAACGTCCTGAACCTGTCAGGAATTGAAGCTTCCCCAACATCGAGTAACTTAATCCATAGCATATTGCGGATGAGCTTTGTGTATTGAAGCGATAGATCTCGACGGGAAGAGTCCGATTTCTCATTATTCTGTTGCCATTTCCTTCTTTCTCGTGAAGTGTCGTCAGCTTCGACAAATTTAACTTTCTAGAAACTCACTCACCGCCGTAGAAGTCATGAATACGTTGCCCATAGCAATCCAAGACTGGAGCTCCTCAAGCTGCTATTCACCAATAGCCTTTCTACAAAGGTGAATGAGTGAGGAATACTCCATAGGTGTGCCACATGTGGATTGATCCTCTCCTCATCCTTGCTCTACGTCGGATCAAGGCGATCCCCATAGCTTGACTGGACGATAAGCAGCTTGCCGCAAATTGAGTTGATTGTATGTGCGACAGTCACGTGGATGAATTGACTTTGTGTGCCTTCCACGTTTACGATTAGATCTCCGTGGCGTGAACTCTAAGTGAGGTATCTCAGCGCTCTCGCCGAGATATGTACTAATTGAGTAAGCGAGGGGACCCTGCGGCTCGCGATGGACCATGACCAACCTGGCTGGGAATAGGGTCAACAAACCCCGTATGCCCGAGGGAAAACGTGGTGAAATGACCGTGAATACGCTCTCCTTTTGGGGTTAGATCACCGCAGTATAAACTCTACATAAGTTCCAAGTGCTTGAATAGAGCCTCAAAGCTTAGCCATAAGCGGCTTGGTAACCTGAGGAGTTAAACTTCTACTGTGAAGACTTAGCTTCAAAGCTAAACTAGTAATAACAGCGCCTCACTTAATATAACTGAGTTCATCCAGACCAATCTTTCCATTCAAACACCAAGTCTCGCCCACAATTGGAGAGTTTTCCCCGCGTTGTGTCCATGGGATAGTTGATCGCAGCGGCTGACTCCGACGCATCATCAATCATTCCCAGGCGCTGAAAACAATCCGGCTTCTCGCCGCGATGTAAGTCGCGGCGTTATATAAGTACGCCACTTGAGTGCAAAATACAAGTACACCTGTAACTCTTGTAACTCTTCATATATTGTTGCAGAAGAAAGTGTTCAGATTCGCATATGCTCGTGGATCGCGTCCATACAGAGAAGGCTTTCCTCCATGTTCTGCTCAGGGAGCATAGTCCTAATCTGGATAGGAGTAATAGGAGGCAACTCAAAAGGCGTGACGTTATTTTGTGGTTCGTGGGGTAGCCCTGAACAAGAAATTAGAAAATTCATTGCTTCATTCTACAAAACAGATGTTAAGCGCGTTCGTGTGTTCGAAAGTGCCGTTGAGAGTTTTTCTTAAAGCGCCGTCTAAACGCTGTCCATCCGCAGGTTCCGGCCACAATTCTGACCGCGCGCAACGCACCGGCCACCCCAGCCTTCCTACTGAAATCGACATCACGAGCAGGTCTGCTACATTATTCAGCTGCTCGTTCGAGAAGGATTCATTGTTCTTCCTGAAGTCTGGTTGATCACGGCTACTGTGATTATCCCCTTTTCATCCAACGTGCACGGCGATGGGGGAGCGGGAGTGTCGCGGTGTTTGGGTTGGTGCTATGCCCGTTGTAGTTAATCCCTTTAGGCGCATAGCTGTGTAATATTAAAGAAAGGATAAAATTGCTAGAGGTATTGTCATTGACACTTTTTTGTCTTGTGGTGTTGTAAGTCACCTCGCTCGTCCCAACTCGTATTCCTGGGTCTAGTTAAACTCTGGCTTCAAATCCGGTAGGGCTAGTTCGACCACTATAACAGTGTTTCAACTATGCCGTATAGGAGGCCACCAGAAAGATTTATCAAATTGATGAAAGCTAATTGCTCAGGAAAAACCGAGGGGTAGGTCTTTTACGACATTATGCAGACAGAAATACCAAGAACTTTGATAAAGTATTGTTCATGTTAGCAGCAAGTCGAGGCAGCCAACTACACCACGAAAATCAAAGTTTAGGTGATGATGTTCGGAGATCCGGAACTGGAATCAGTATCTTGTGTTCCGTACCAGACGGCTACAAGCTTACAATGATTAAGTGTAGCTGGTGTAATACCGGGGTGACTTGAAGAACATATAAGAGCTCTCAATATTCCATGCTTCAGCTTCATGAGCATCTCATCACATCCACACCTTTCTCTCTCTTATCAACATATCTTTGCAACTCAAGATGAAGTACATTCTTTTGACCACTATCTTTGCCGCTGCCTGCGCAGCTGGACCTCTGGCTGAAGTCAGGGATCTGACTGGCACGCCGGAGAACACCCTGACCTACGTCGACATTGCTCCGGTTGAGTTGGAACCACGGAACGCGGACTAGAACCTGACGGATCTTGTCACTAGGGATACTCTCCCTAACACCGCATGCCCGGCTGGACAGACTTATGACCGCTCGGTCTGCTTTAAGTCCAACATCATCCGCAGCTTCTGCGTCGCCAACCCTCGCAGCAACCGCGAGAAGATCACGGACACCCCCTGCGGAGCCAACGAGATCTGTGTTCAGCGTCGTCTCCTCTCCAACGGCAAGAGCTACGCCAAGTGCATTCCCGTCCTCGACCTTGTCTTGTGGAAGACCAGCCCGGACGGAAACAAGGAAGGCTGCACCACCACCACCGTCAAGAGTGGAGGAAACCATCACATTGGAACAATCGTTTACGACGTGAACCGCAACCCAATTCAAGTCGACAAGATCCGTTATCTCGGAGAGCCTGGCGAAGTTGATGAGGGAATTGGCGGATCAACCCCATTCTTCAGCAGCAACCTCTTCAGCTTTGCTGGAGGCCATTACCTCAAGAGTAAGGATACAAAATAAAAGAGACTTAAGAATTAAGCTGACAAGTACATAGCTTGCGTTTTCGCCGGTGGCTTCGGAAACCTGAACGCATACTCCTGGGCTTGGTCTTAATTCTGTTCCGAGACGTTTGTTACCGCCCATCATGCAGGGATGAAAGTTGATCGACCCACTCTGACGTCGAGCGACTACGACAAGACATTTGTACTGCAGGATCACGGGAACAATAGAGACTCAATTGGGAACGGAAGGAACCTGACAGGTCTTGTGGTAATGTGAAATGAGCAGCGACAAGAAATGCAAACGAGCGTTCAGTGGATACTAGAGTGAGCGCTCACCAGACCTCAGAATAAACGCTTTTGGTGGGTTAGGAACCAACGCTCATTCGGAAAGGAACTGTTCAGTATGACTTGTACATAGCATTACCTGAGCCTTGGTCAAAGTCAGACTTCCATAGCAATCTGGCTATAAACTGGTTTTTATACCACTTCAAGCTCACGTTCAATGTGAATTGCCATGTTAAATCTCAGTGTAATCTCTTTAGTCTACCAAAAACTAATCTACGAAGTAGACTGTGTTTCACAACCACGTACGGCATCTCAAGGTAAACATGATGCCCTAATTCTCATTACATCAGACTCTAATGACCTATAGCTGGCCACAACGACGTTATGCCTAAGCGTTGGTATGGACATTGAGGAGCAGTTGTGTTCTTGAGTGATCAGGAGTTAGAGGATCATGTTTTGTCTATGTGCTTGGAAATTTAAATTCCTCGAAACTTCACACTGTAGATATCCGGTTTAAATCATGAAGACAAGTACGAAAACTGTGCCCGTATCTGCATTTCATGAAGCCGGTAGAGACAGCCCTGCGAAGAGACAGTCTTGCTATATCGACCTAACGTATGCCGCAGTTCCAAGTCTCAAATGATCAGGTCAAGGTCGGCTCAGCGACATCACGAGCAGTGTTTCTCATCTCACAGAACTTCTTAGAATATTAAACTGATCTTGTGATAGAATGCACCCCTCTTTTCTTCCAGAAATACACTACCAACACTATGGCGAACAGAAGTTAAGAAAGCTACAGGATAGAAACGAACGATAAACACGGCTGCACTGACGATCATTATTAGCGCGACGAGTCGAGAGTCTTGACTTGAACAGAAGTATCTCAAAGTGCCGTTCTCCTGATTCCAGCGAATCGAGGAATAAATCAAACCACTGAGACTATGGGAACAGACGAGGATCGAGACTTTTGCACAAATTTAGATGCATTGTCATAACACCCTATCTGGAAGTTTACAAAGGCTTAGCATGTAAATTCGAGTCCTAATTGAGTTTGATGTTACATAAACCCCTTTATTATGAATCACCCGTTAGAACCCACTGAACAACAAATTTCCAACAGCGGCAGTTTTGAGGAAGTGGCTAGTGCGTACATGCTTAGGTGTAACTGCAAGGAAATTTCTTGTCCCAAGGCTACTAACCGTTGCAGCGCACCAATCAACGCTGATCCAAACGACCTGAGAACTACATCCAGACTTCGGTACCTCAAGTAGATGGAGACTTACAAGTAATAGCGATTGAAAAGGGGGGTAGTATCTTGGTGCCGAGGGATCGATCAAGCCCTGCGACGCGGCCCGGCCATTCTCTAGACGCCTTGGCTTCTTCATGGTGCTTCCGGGGGAGAGAGATATGGCATTCTGTGTGTTGATGACAACCCGATGAAAGTTTTTGCATCTGGTATATGATGGCAGAAACCGTCTCAACAACAAGACGATGACGTATTGCCCATGCATTTGAGGGACGTGAGCACAGCGAGGAAAAGCTTAGTTTACGGGATTAACATTGAATTTTAGAAACACTGGCTATCCATGTGTTGTTTACTTATACATATAGCTATCATATCCCAGACTCAACCTCAATGGCTACCTTATTCAGTGACTATGAGCACATCTAGCACCCGAGGCTGAGGCCCAGGTCCAAGATTCTCTTGGCGGCATAAGCAGCAGCCACCATGATGGGGGCCTGAGTGTTGCCAGTAGGAACCTCGGGGTGCATGCTAGCATCCACGACAAAGAGGTTGTCAGTGCCCCAGACCTTGGTGTTAGGGTCGACAACGCTCTTTCCATCGTTGGCAGTGCCCATCTGAGTGGTGCCAAGGTAATGGCTGCCACCACCGATGGCAGCCACAAGAGCCTCCGCGGTGGCGTTCTCGGGAACGGTAAGGATGCTGTTGGGTTCGCGAGCCCACTGGAGAAGCTGGTCGACGAAGGTGGTAAGAGCCTCCTTGTCGCCTTCGGTGTGCATGAGGGGGTTCTTGGTCATGTTGGTCGCTCCGCTGGGGGTGATCTCGACGGTACCGGTGGAGGTGGTGCCGTGGGTCAGGTAGACCTTGACGCCAATGGTGTTGTTGCTGTCTGCGCGAACAGTACCCTGAACGTGGCGGGTAGCACCATCGGTAGTGTTGACGCTAGTCCAGAAGTTGAGACGCTGACCGGCTTGGGCCATAAGACCGCTGCCCTGAGCAAAGAGGTCGACAGTCTCCTGGTCAGGGTCAGTCCACGCAGTCTTGGGGAGCGCGATAAGCTCCTCCTTGGTGGTGAAGGTGACGGTGGCGATGCCGTGGTCCTTGAGGTTTTCGCCGACGGGGAGGTCGATCCACTGCTCCTTGGGCGGCAGCTGGATGTTGGTGGTGCCGGAGGCGACGATTTCGATCTGCTTGGCGGGGCCGATGCCGGAGTTGAAGAGGACACGAGGGGTAGAGTGGGAGCCAGCGGCGAGGACGAGAGATCCACCCTTGCTAAGCTTAATGATCTCGCGGGCTCCACCGTCATGCTCGACCTCAACACCGGTGATGAGGCTGCCGTCGCGGATGGCGCGGAGGACCATGGAGTGGAGTTCCAGAGTGAAGTTAGGAAGGGCTTCGGCGTCGGGTAGGATCGCGCGGACGGGGCTGTCGCGCAGACCGTGAGCGATCTGGAAGGGATCCGTCAGTTTTGTTCATAAGCAGGAATAGGTTGGAGATGGTGTAACTTACCGACCATGCAGGGTGCGAGTACATGAGCTCCTTAGACTCAGGGTCGTTCAGAGCATCTTGCTCGCTCCAGCCGTGAGCATCCAAGAACTTGGACATCACCTCAAAGGCGCCGTCGTCGTAACGCTTGCCATCCTCAGACGCCAAAATAGATCCAGGGAGACGCTTGTAGAACTCCTCCGCGGCTTCCGAAACACCGTTCTCCCAGTGCCACTCCTCGGGCCATGTCGCAAAGTCAGCCGAGCGAGGCTTGATGTACATGAGTGCGTTGAGCATGGTGGAGCCACCGAGCAGGCATCCCGCGGCAATGGCAAGATCTCTGCAGTACTGCAGGTCCGGCGATGCACCAGTGAAGTCAGCCATACCGGGGACATCGTACATGGTGACGGTGTTGTTCCACGGCATGGTCTTGTTGTTGCCGGTCATGTAGAAGGAGGTGCCACCGCGCTCGATGAGGAGGACGCTGCGACCCGAGTTGGCGAGGCGCTCGGCGGCCACGATACCCGCGGTGCCACCGCCTGCGACGATGTAGTCGTAGGTTGTGTTGCGGGTAGTCGTGGTGTTGCTCCTGAGGCTCAGGCGGGCTGCTGCCGTCTCGCTCAGCGCAAGAAGCGCCGAGCTCATGGTGATGAACTTCATGGTGGGTAAAAGAGAGAGGGATGATGTTCAAAGAGACAAGGACAGGACACTCAACCAAGAGTCTGAGGACCGGAAGCCATACGACGTCGGGCAGCAGGACAGATCTATTAACTACTTACATGATTCGAGCGATGAGATTGATAAGATGCGATTGATAATCCTCGTCTAAACTTGTCCAACTATCAAATTTCGGTACTGGAGGGATAGCACTCCGCAAAACTGGGTAGAGCTAACTAGATGTGGGAAAGATAATTGCAATTTGGTGGGTCTTGCAATATAAGCATACTGGGCAGCGGAGGCGCAACACGAGAGGCTCCATTGCATTGGGCAACTGACAAAGCAGATCGTGTAAAATTTCTGTTTTTCTTTAGTAAAATACCTCATACCGCATGTTTTGACGAACTCAAATTGCTCCCGCCAAGCCGGACTTGTCTCCCTCAAGCAGCAACAGCAGTGGTAAGCGAGCTTCTTGGAAAGCGAGCATGACGGCGGTGGCAGGGCAGCTCGAAGCGGACTATGTGGAGAAAAGTCTGGGCGAAACGGAGTCTACGCAGTAGTCTTGCGGTGTCGTTGGTTGAAGGGTCTCTTCTTCAGCAAGCGTGATGTCACGCACCATCCGAAGCGCACCATGGCCATGTCAAACTGCTTGGTCATGATCTTAACAGCCAATGAGAAATCTTGTTCACATTTTTTGATTGAGGCTATGAGCGGCTGCGCCGGGCCCTTTGCTCCTTTATTGCTACGAGCAGAAAACCTTGCTCATATAAGGTATGGAAGGATTACTCAAGGGACTTTGGGATAAAGGTTTATCCACTGGTGAGTTCGTCTCTGAGTCGCTCTTTGCGGCCAGATACATTCGAAATTAAGCTTCTATGCTGCTACTATGTACGCGAAGTCCGAGAAGATCTCGCGGGTCGGCTAGTCCTTCCTTCAACCCTGAAAACTCCGAGGTCTCGTGTCTATTCGTGCCGTCGAGCTGCGTTGGTTTGCTGTAGCTCTGGCAGCATATCCTTCTTACCAAGAACAATGGCCAGATCAAGAGCCGTCAATGGTGATTCTAATCTCACCAATCTGCCTATTCGTCCGTCGGGACCATCGGTTTTCTCAAGCTTCAGATAACCGTTGCAGCGGCCTTCTAAGTCGCATCCTAGCATCACAAGCCGAGTCACAATCTCAACATGATCATTGGCAACAGCTAGATGGATCGGTTGGAAAAAGGCATACTCGCCGCTCGACCATCGGTTCAAGTCCGCCGGTCCAGACCCGTCGCTCTTCAAGAGCTCGTAAGTGCAGCCGATAGACCCATAAAGACATGCGAAATGCAAGGGGGTCAAACCGAGTGCATGGGTGACGTTGTCCGCTTTCGCCCCCAACTTGAGAAGCGCGTTGGCGGCTGGTGGTTGATCGGCCATGACGGCGGCATGTAACGGGCTGCGGCCGTAGTCATCTCCAACGTCTATCGAGGCACCCAAGTCGGCCAGGCCACGAATGACTTCTTTGCTGCCCCCGCAGGCTGCGTGGAAGAGAACTGATCGTCCGGCATTGTCTCTGGCGTCGATGTGTTTAGTTGTGCCCATCATCTTGGTCAGTGCGTCTACCGCCTGCATGTTGCCGGTGGCTGCCGCCCGATGCAGCGGAAGCTCGCCTAGGTCGTTGATGTGTGGGAACGAGTGCGAGCCGAGGAAGTCCTCTTTGATCAAATCAATAATCTTCCGTATCCTGTGATTTGCCAGTCCGGCAGGCGCATATGCAGAGAAGAGATGGAGAATGGTCTCGAGTCTTTTTGTCGTGAACTTGTGCAGAATGTCGGGGTCGGTTCCAGAGTAAAACGCGATCTCGGCTTCAGCTTGCAAGACCTCGGTTGTAATACCCTGCAGAATGTCGGGTCTTTTCTTTAGATTTGACTCTCTCTCTTCTTCCAGAAGATATGCAGCGAGGTTAAAGTGCCCATTGAGTACAGCAAGATGAACAGCCATAAAGCCGCTTCTGGTTTGACTCATGGTATTCGCACCTAGCTTCAACAACGTCTTGAGCATGGATAGCGAACCAAGAGTTGCGGCCCAGTGAATGGCTCTGAAGTCGTCAAACTCTTCTGTCCGCAGCTCAAGAAGACCTCTTCGTTGCCTTGCAAGAGACTGGAGATCCCTATCACTTCGCGCGCGAACGGCCCGAATCAAATCGGCGTATGGCTTACTTTGCTCAATCTTGACGGCGTGAAGTTCATTTCCAAATCGAATGGCAATGTTGACTGCCGTCTTTGTCCTCACTCCCTCGGGTATGGGAAGTGTCGGTGCCAGCATAAGGGTGAACCTATCTTGATAGCAACAGCAACGCGTAACTGCGCCGACCTCGTCAAACAGTACGACAGGCTCTTGCGGCTCTGGAGTTCGCCTAGGCGTACTTGACAGAACACCCTCGTCACTTGGTGCAAAGAGAAGTTCCGAAGTACCGGAAACTTCTAGCTGAATAAATCGACGGCCTCTTCTTTGAGACTCTTTGGCGTCGATGGTGATGAAACCCAAGCCTTTTGAGTTTTGGTACGATGCAGGGCCATCTGATGTAGTAGCAATTTCAGAAAACTCCAGGTAGACGGACTCGAGACTGTTGCCAGTGTAAGGATGCTTCTCGTAGCACACTTCCCACCGTCTCCTGACCCGACGGAGCCCAATGGCAACATCTACGACTGATCGCTGGCTTTGATCAAGTGACATCAAGCGCAAAACGACCATCGCGCGGTTCGAGTGCGGCTCTTTAGTCCGTATCACGGATAGTGTGGTGTCCCATCTTTCCGGCGGATATGCTTCGTGAATGGTGAAGGCAAGATGTGAAACAGCATCCTTTGAGTTGGGCCGAAGCTTTGTTTTCACACTGAGTTCAGGGAGTGCGTAGAATGGGTTTTCCTTTACGTAGATGTTCTCGTACGTCCCCTCAGCGTCATCGAAATGATCCAAAGGAAACAAGATGACAGAGCCCTCTTCAGAGGCAACTCTTGCAAACTGGTCACTCCAAAGTCGTTGTAGAATGATGCAAGGGCTCATCTCCTCGCTGGCAGAGTCGGCCTTGGAGACTATGCAATCCAAAAGAGCGTAGTACTCATCTCCATCCGGCTGTCGGGGGATGAGGAGGATATTCGTTCGGAGCCCTTGATTAGTGACACTGGTTGGCGCACTATCCTGGGATTCTGAAGGAGGTAGAGGTCGCACATGGTCAAAGCCGACCATTGAGAATGAGCTTGGTGAACTTGCAAGCAGGCCGAAGAGGTCATCCGAGGGTTGAACGTCCTCTGGCAGCCCCCAGAGAAACAAGGACTGGTCATCGCTCTCTTTGAGGATCTCTTCTTGCAGACGCGTGAAAGCGCGGTCACCTTCACCGTAGAGCAAGGGCATGTTTACCTTGAACAATCCTATCAGGCAGTATGCTTTGTCTTCCGGTCGCGTCGTCTGTCGATGCCCTGCCCATCGCATCTTATTCGCGACACTGATGTCGCTGAGAAATGATGTACCAGAGAGCACCTGCTCGTCAATGCCAGTAATCCTGGCAAGCAGCTGGCAAAAGACATTTCTCGACTGCTTTGTGTTGATATAAGACCAGTCCCCGGCGTAGAACTCAACAGTCTTTGGCGCAATGAGCTCCTGCAACGTCCATCCTCGGGTAAACCACCGACTATTCTGGAAACTCGAATCCTTGGCAAACGGGCTCTGCACGGAAACTGGCTCCACGTCGGAGAGGAACGCGTAACAAATGGCTGCCTTTTCGTACCAACGGTACATGGAGTTGATGGACTCCGACAACTCGGCGCTGCTAGTCTTGTCGATGCAGCAGGTGTCGGCCCAGAGGTAGCGGTGGCGATGGCTCTTGGCCAGATTGGCTGCATCTCGTATCTTGCGGAAGCCGTTGGTGGAGCGGATCTGGTCGGCCGCCTCCGCGGAGCCCGACCCCGGACCGGGTGCCGTGTCCGAGGCCAAGCCGAGCGCTTGGAAGCTTTGGAACGTGACTTCGTCGCTGCCCCAGGTGTGAGACAAGATCGCGTACTCCTCCTGGGGGTCGCCCTGCACTTCTACGAGTTTGAGGCTATCGGTGTCAATAAGCCACATCTCGAATCGGCTGCCTGGCGGAGGCGAGCGTTGAAAAGGTGTAGGTAGGATGCCAAGATTGAGGCGCCGACAGCTGAACTCAAGTCAAACAAGAAGAAGATGATTTGTTATTTTGGTAGAGAGACATGATTGGTCCGGCTCCCTGCAGCTAAGCTAGATCTTCAGTCCAGCATTGAGAACATCTTAGGTGCGTCATTCATCAACAGCCGCGAAGTATTTGGAGGATACATTAAATGCCTAGATCTCATTGCAAAAGACTATCGGAGTCACTGTTCAACACAACTGTGCTATTTGAAATGCGACTAAGGGTCATTGACAATTAGTCGACTAGAACTCTAGCAGTGCTACAGAAGCCTAAGTCGAATGACGAGTGTCCACAAGAGCCCTGTCTTAAAATGGGGGAGACTCTTCAACGCCCCAAAAATTAGTATTAAGCTTAAGAGGTGGTCTTTAAGACTAGGTAAAACGCGCTAAGAAGCGAATGCTATTACAAGACGTGGGATACCGAAGCGACGTCGTGGGCCTTAACATCTAGATTTATGATGTGAAATTCAGTTTCGCTGCCCATGGAAGAGTGTCGGATCCGGAGATCATATCCCCTGACGAGCGGCTGAGCAGCCAATCGCAATTTTCTTCTTGCTGCATATCACCCCGCCGCGCAGTTTGATCTTCAAGGAGGTTCAAATACTCCCCTTGACGAATTGCAATGGCGATGGTTTCCAACCGTGGGATTTTGGAGTTCTTTCTCCCTGTCATCCCCACCCAAAGCACCAGTGACCCTAGCCAAGGAGAACAGGGGTTCATCCGAGGAGCTCGCAGCGTCGCTTCATTCCCATGTTTTGAAACTTCGTTCGATCTTCGAAACCGGTCATGCCCAGGTAACACAGGTGCTCAGCCATCTTTTCAGGCCTTCCAAGGCGGTCATCGCATCATCTCAGGCCACACGATGGCAGATGCAGCGCTTCTGTCAGCTCAACTATAAGATGGCACCTGTCGTGTCGCTGTCAGTTCATGTCACATAGTTTCAAATCATCAACAGCGAAACTGCCATCCGATACAACAACTTTTCTTCTTTAGACCTGGTGTCATCTTTATTTAAGCTTATCTCAAGTCTTTGCGCCCATTTTCCTTTCACAGTTCTTCTCAAGATACCTATTTGATTCACCCCGATCCACACAAAATGTATGCCCAACAAGTTCTCGTTACCTTCCTGATGGCCACCAGCGCCACTCTCGCTAGCGCAAGTAAGTATAATCTTCTCGAAAACCATAGTCATCCCATCTTTGTCTAATCAGACGACCGCCTTTAGGAAGCATCGAAAGACGCCAATTGCTTGGAAACCTCGGCAGCCTCTCATGCAACGTTGCAAGACTTCAGATTCTAGGCGCCCTCGGCAACACCGAAGACGCTGTTTCACAAATCACCGATACAACAGTCCAGGACGCTGCCAACGCTGGTCTACAACAAGCTCGAGGCGGCATCGCACAAATTGCCAAGTCCATCGTCAGCGGCGCTGCACCACCCGCGGCCAGCCGTGACGAAGTAGCAGCCGGACTGGCTGCAGCTGGTACTGCTCTTTCTGGGGGTGATGCGTACGTATCTTTATCTCATGATATACCTGTTGAGAATTGCAATGGCTAACAATATCTGTAGGAGCGATCAAGCCATCGCGGATGCACAAGCGGGACTTGATAAGTCTGTTAAGGCTGGCCAGGACGTCGTCGCAAACTGCTAGAGATTTAATTACGCGAGTTGAGCTCAGCACACGATGATGACGAGGCATAAGACAGCAGCAGGACTAGCGCATGCATTAATACCACCATGTTCAATTATTCAAAACTGATTCTCTTCATTCTAAGCGTATCCTCTCATGTCGGTAAACATTGCAGTTCTATGCGATCCCTGCTTGTGTCTCTTTCGCAAGATGAAACTATCTCGTCGTTCCAGTCAGTTCCCTCGCCTGTCGTAAGTCCTGCGCCATGCCACCCAAGTGAACCACGTCGGCCGAGACCATGATCAGACTCATCCGCTCCGCAGCCTTTTTCAGGACCTCGGAACTCCCATCCGGAGGCCCACCAAACGCAAAGTCAGCATAAGACTTTTCGTGCCTGTCAATGGTATCAAAAAACAGCTTCGACACCTTAACCCATTCAGGCTCAGACGCCCCTATGCCACCAATCATGGCCTCGAGGTTGGCATCGCGATGTGTCCCTGCTCAACAGCGGCGTAGCAATGAGTTGCCTGACGCATCTTCCATTTCCAAGCCTTTCACAACCCTGGTCACAACCCCTCCAGATCCGATGAATTGGCTATTTTTGTCTGTTCTTGACCGGAAGTGGTGGCACCAGCAGACGTCTGCGATCAGGCTGGCCATTGAGCGTCGGGTACAAGCATGCAATGGTACACACCCTCTGAAGCGTACTTTAGCTGTTTCTTATAAGTGATCGCGTGCACCATTCGCTTAAATGTAGCGACTTCTTTCGGTGTCAATATCCCTGCGGGTTGCCTCATTGGAAATCGAGATATAAGGCACCATGGAAGCTGTTTGTCTATCATAAGGATCGTACAGCGACAGAGTTTCATCCCCAGTTTTTGATGTCTGACGTCCGGTATATCTCTTCAAGATGACTTCGATACCTCGGAGGTCTAGTCTCCTCAACAGACGGGCAAGCTATTTACACCTAGATGATCACTCGGAAATTGATCAGCATGAAATGCAAACCAACACCAACAGCCACACAAGGGCGTCAACTGCATCCCCATCGCCAATCAGTCAGTCCTCGGGTGATGATACATCGCTCGGCAAGCCATCTCGGAAAAGAATGTACCATGTCATGGATATTGCAGCGGCTTTTGTAGCTCTGGCTTGCCTAGCGCTGTCAATTTTGGTTGTCTCGAACGATCACGTCTCGTGGTATCTTGGTACCGGAAATCGTCAGCTCATCGTCATCGGGTTTCTCCTCAGCATCATGAACCTGTGCCTAGGCAGTGTCACGCCGACGTTCTTCTTACTTCTCGAAGCCCGTGTTGGAAATTCCACGCTACAGAATTATGACGGAATTCTTCGCAACACACCTATGGCATCCAAACTGAGCTTTGCCTGGCGCATGGTCCTTGTAACCATGCTGGCCCTTCCCGTTGGCCTCAGTGCAGCGTACAAAACCTTCACAGGCGGTGAGAGCAGCATGAAGATTCACGCTCCCGACTACATTACAAACGCCATGTACTTCGGTCTTTTTAGACCGCCAGCCACGGCATCATCAATGCACGGAGTTTCATTCTTTTTCAACGCAACCAACTCGTTTCGAGATGCAAGTGAACGAGCAGCGAATCTCTCTGAACCTCCGCTGCCTACTTTCCCTCAAGCTTACGGCTACAACATCCTATTGCTTAACGGTTCCAGCGCCGCGCAACTCGATATTCTAGATCCCAATTATATCCTCAAAATACAGAAGTTGCTTGCTCCCGGCGAGTCTTGGAACATCACTGCGTCTGTGCTCGGTACCGTCGCTACCCTCAACAAATCGGCGGCCACCGAAGAGGACTTTAAGTCCGCCTGCAATGAGATGGAATCCAACCACACTTGGTACCATGAAAGTAAAGACCTATTCGTGGGATCTTCGGCATGCTCGCTCTCCTTAACGGATAGAAAAGAGGAATCGGACCAATCGTTGCAGTATGTCGGTTTAGCACCGGGCAATCCGAATTGCACGCAGTACGCACCACATAATATCTACACCTACAATATCTACCGACAGCCATGTCGGGGTACGTGGTCAGTCAGCAGAGGTGGCTTTCGGCTTCTCGAGGGTTCTTGTGATAACCATATCCTGGGATGGGCCAAACAGCAGGTAATTCAGTGGCAATATTCGGCACTTCCATCATGGTACACGTGTGTTCTGATTGAGATGCTGAGAACCTTCTGCCTCTATCCTTCCCAAGAGCATGACGCTTATCGAGGCAATCGGTCTGTTTGGATGATGCCGTACATGTCAGTCTCTGTGGCTACCATGATGTGGTCATCGACCGTGTCAAAGCAGGTGACCTCTTTCGACTCTGAGACATTCGACAAAGGTCGAGAGATATTGACCACTCAAAACAAGACACGTCTTACATTTGAAGAAGCTTCTATTTTTTATCATATAAAGATGGACGAAGGCAACCAGACGGTCATCTACACCCGGCCAACACTACAAACGTCTCCCTGGCTCTATCTGGTCTTGAGCATTCAGCCCTTTCTGCTGTTAATTTTCCTTGGAACGATTGCACTACTTCACACAGTTCCCTTGGACAAGGGATTCGGCCTGATATCAATTCTATCGGGCATTGAGCATCGAGGTCTGGATAGCTTGAGCGGGGCTTCACTATCCGGAGAGCTTAAGCGACCTGTCAAGCTAACCATGAGCCCTGTGGCCCCCGTCCAAGGCGACGAGAAGAGTACTATCAAGTACCTGATAGATCCTTCATCAGAAGAAATGCCAGGCAATAAAAGTCTGTCTCGGAATGTTGAATATCATTGATGGCGCTTTCAAGAGAACATGATCATCAGGTTCGTCCAATATTCCTCCGATACTGCATCCGCAGCCATTGACCCACGTAATTTTTCAGGATTTCAAACCAATTTGACTGCGTTCAAACGGGCTCTTTGCAAGGCTTTGAAACCGATCATATCTTCGTGCTTTCCTGCGCCCAGTGCGATGCAATCTGGACTAGCTCCCTCAGGAAGGAGACTCAACACAGGTGGACACGCGCGTCTGGAAGCGTACGTAAGGATCTTAGAGCCAGCAAGCCGGAAGTTCTTTGATAGTCAGGCTGTATCTGAGGGATGTCGATCCTATTCTTTCCCACAAAACGCTCAATATAGCAGAGGTATCCAGCAAACACACGAGCGTGGTCTTCATCTATGTTTATGTAGATCAACATTGTTTTTATTATCAGTTCAAGCACATCAAAGAAAAAGTGGCAGCACGACTGATGGGTTGAGTAGGGACCGGCAAAGACCGACTGGACAGGTCGTCGCGTGCCGCAGGAGGTGATTGATCGGATTATGACGGAGGTTGGAAAGTGGCCCATGGGCCTAGAAGAGGCGAAGAGGGTGTGAGGCGAAGTCATCAATGAGTACCTGGCCGGCAAGGAGGAAGTGTAGGATAGGGTAATGCAGTTTCAATTTAATTAGTCCTTTCGTATTCACATACGTGGAAGAATGCCATCTCATTCAATCTCTGTCTCTATTCCCATATGTTTTTGGATGACACTAAGCGATGAAACAGGTGAAGTTCATGCGTCTTGAGAATCTTTTTGTCATAACAGAGATCTTAAGCCAAAGTCCAGAATAAGTTTACGTAAATCATGTGTCGCTTCTGTTTTCGCGGCGGTCCAGTCAAAATAATGTCCATGCGATTGCAGCACAGGGCTAAAACTTACCATGAGAATCTATGCTGCCGCCCAGTTGGTAAGTCTTCAGGTGGACCTGCCGCTGTCTTCTCGTTTCTCTACGAGACGCGTGCCATTTTGCGCAATCCCAAACTTGGCGGCGGAGATAGCATGTTTTGCTTGTTCAACTGTCTCGACTTGGGGGATGACGACACTGGCGCCGGCATCGAGAGCATATCCAATGGCAGCGTGATCGTGACCAGGGACGCTACGTAGCAATGTCAGTGTGAAAGTCCCAGAATATATACGGGAGACATACCGAACAAATGGAGTAGTGCAGTCCTGGCTCATTAACGAAGCCTCGTGAACCATCTACGCGGCGTCAGAACACTGTTTGAGATTCGCACAGTGATCCTTTGAGTACTGTCGTCATGGTCTCCGTGTTGCATGGGGTATGCTCCCAATCAGTCCATACGGCATCGAAGTCCATAGGGGCCAAGTACAAGGTAATGGGGATAGAGCTCAACCCTGCGTAGTAACAAAGCAATGGCGGAATCTTCTTTGCGTGGGCGTCTCGGAAGGCTTGACGGGTTTTGTGAGGCTGGAAAAGCGAAGGAGCAGCATAGGCAGCCATGCCTTGCGAAGAGGTACTCTTGTATTCGTCTCCGGAGGTAGCCATGATGGAATTCGAAGTTTTTACTGTTCCTAGGAATGATGATTGGTGAAAGTCCTGGATGATTCAAACTCGATAGGTCTCAAATACTGGTCTCCATTGTGTCCTCTTATAACGTGTTCCACTGAACATCCTCCATCAACATTCCACGCCCTTCGAATCTCGAACATCAGAGTGCGCGAACAAGTTTACGTGAGACCATCAAAGCAGCTTCCGGATTTTCTCGTTGACTTACATCAACCGATAATGTTCCTGGTCTGAGCACTCAGTCAAAGAGGATGTCGGTCTTGGAGATGTCCGTTGAGACGCCGGGCAGGAGAAAACTCGTACAACTGCTCAACATCGCTACTTTCGATTCTTTAGGTTAGCCAAGGCACAGAGATAAGCTATCCGAAATAAGGCTCTTGAGGGATCTGCATGTAGCTGTTGAGGCTCACATAGCTACCTATTTCCCTACAGTTGTCTCGTCGAACTCCCAGAGTCCTAGCGCCGTAGAAAGGTGGTTGGACCAAACTAGTGCGACTTCCGAGACACTATTGTGGCTTACGTATAGACTAAAATCTGACAGGTGTCGGGAACTTTTATGTCATAAAGCCGCTGCCGAAGGAGTCGGAGAGACTTCCGTGGACCTCTTTGTTGTCACCTCACTAGAGCCCTCACTCCAAAAAACCTCGAGTTTATGCTATCAGATTCATTCTTCTCATGCAAAAGTTTCAAGCATCGATAAGGCGGTCCCAATTACATCATTTTCTCTCATTATCAACATTAAACGAGAATTTTCGCTCAGTCCAACGTTGGCGCCATACCCATGTCTCCCGAAGCACTGCCAAGCGAGCAATCGAGCGATCATGTTTCGCGGTCGCCTTCTCCCAACCAGGCACTTCAGGTAAGTCGTAAACAGCCATTTTGCGGATATAGTTGTGTTGTGACACACGTGCCGTCTATCTAACATAATGCCCAACTTAGACCCGCCGAGAGCGCAACCGCGAGGCCCAAAAAGTCTTTCGCAAACGCAAGCAAGCTGCGGAAGAGATCCAGGCAACCCGTCTGCAGCATCTAGAAACTACCGTCGCCAAGATGAGCACCGCGGTCGTTGAGCTTGTCGACTGGATGCTGGACATTGAGGCGCTGAAGCAGGAAGTAGGGGTCTTGACGCGTATCCAGGAGATGGTGGCGCACGTGTTGGCTTTGGCCGACGATGCTGTGGCGTTGGAGGATGAGCTTCCGAAGAGGAGGAAGAGGAAGCTTAGAGAAACGAAGCGAACTTCGATACAAAATCTCGACCCCAAAGATCATGCTGGTACGGGCACAGAAGAGGAGAATCCTTGTGCTATAGATAACACATCCCACGTGGCGTCTTCTCCGCAGGCAAACCCTCCGGCACCAGATCCTCCGACCCTGACACCAGACGACCAAATCCTATCCCATCTAACATCCTTAGCCTGCCGCCCAACCTCGACCTCACTGCCCCCATCCCTGGGAACCTTCCACTGCGGCTCAACAACCACTCTCAGCCCAGACTCCTTCAGCTTCCGCCTCACACACACCTGCTTCACGCTAGGCTACCTCGTCCTCAGCAAATCCCTCGACTCGCCTCTCCCTCACGGAGAAGAACCGCGCATCTTCAGCTCAACACTAAGATACCGTAACAGGGACGATATCATCACGAAAATGAGGTGGCTCGTCGGACCAGGCCAACATGAACTTCAGCAAGCCGCAGAATTACCCATGGGAGGGCGCTGGTACGGCGACGAATTCAGCTCCGAGGACCTGTCGCCGGAGAACCTCGACCTCTTTGAGAAGACTGCGCTGGCGGATGCTCGGCAGACGCGGTTCCTGAGCGTTGCTGGTGTTGAGAGGCAGCTTATTGCGCTTGGTGCTCGGGTGGTGGATAAGGAGACGCTGGAGCTGAGGATGAGTGGGCCTTTGAAGTTGACTTCGGACGCGGGAAAGAAACGGTCTTTGGCGGCTGAGAGTTGGAGTTTTGTGGATTGTTTCCCGCAGACGTTGCAGAGAAGGTCGAAGAAGACGTTTACGGTGCAGTTGAATATCACGCTGCTGATTGCTAATTTGTCGAGGTGTGCGGTGTGTCTCATGAAAGGGCCAGGGTTCCCGAGGGATAAACTGAACAGGGCGATAGAAGATTCTGTGGTCATGGTTAATAGTGGTTGAAGTGAATTATTTCGCAGACGTTTGGCTCTCTCAGGTCATCGGCGTGATTGACATGGAGATCCTGCATTGGGGGCGTCTTGGGAGACAGAGTTGGGATTGTCACTTGCAAGCGACTTTTGCCCATGGATTGCCTGTCGGATGAGAGACGTCACTTATACTATGGAAGTAGGCGTTTCGTAATCGTCAAAGTCACATTTCTGGCTACCTGAGTACACATCCTGAACCCCATATCCTGGATAGCACGACCCGCTGCGTTTGATCAGCTTTTCGGGAATGGTCGCTCCAAAACCAGGCCACCTTGATGAACCTCGTATGCCATGTGTCACTTGAAGATATCCGGGGAGCAGTGTGCACGAAATCTCAAAGCTTTGTGCTCGCTAGCCCATTCACTCCGTCTCATCCATTGGTTCTCCATCAGTGCCAGTTGCCTGCTCCTCAGGATTGTCCCTTTCCTCCTCATCCTCCAGATTGTCTTGAACGCCAGAGCTATCGTTGTTCACCACCTCTGCGATCCTAGCCTCCTCTGTAGCAGCCTGCTGCGCCGCGGCAGCAGCCTTGGCTTCAGCGTGAATCCTCTTCTTCTTGTTGAGCTTCTCGATGGCTGCCAAGGCCTTGCCCGCAGCTGCTCGGGCAGCGGCGCCAGTTCGATTGGCATACGGGAGCTCGAATGCAGCATTGGAGACTGCCCTGATGCCCATTTGAAGAGACTTGGCCTCGGCTAGGATTCCGTCGCGGATGTCCCTGTCGCCCTTGCTTGTGGTCTCTAGTTCGTTCACTGAGTCGATGAACGTCTTGACCATGTGCTGTAGAGTCATATGGCGAGCTGTGAGGAGGTTGAAGGCGGCCTTGGAGATGTAGCAATTATCATCATCCGCGAGTGTCTCTTTTCCAGGCACATAGCTGGAAGGTCCGAGTCTCTGGGTAGGCTGTGTGCCGAGGTCGGGACTGGCTCTGTCTTCGATGAGCTGTTCGAGGACTTCGTAGGTCTGGCCGACGAATGGACTTCTTTTGTATGACCTGCTAGCTATGGGCATGTCATCCGAGTCGGTGCTACCAGCATCGACGGTGGCACCAGTCTCGATATCGTCATCGGTCTCGATAGTCGCAACCGGCTCTCCGTCTTCTGTGTCCTGTATGGGAGACTTCGAGGGCTCCTCAACTTCGGGCTCAACAGCGTGACGCTCAGATTGAATTGTCGAGGTCTTCATGAACGGGTGATTTGGCTTGTGAGGTCGAGGGAAGGAGGCGAGCGGCGATGGAGTCATCAGCTTCGGGCTGTCCTGCTTTCGGTTTTTGCGCCAGCCCGATGGGTGAATATTGAGTTTCGTTTTCTTAGAAGGCTTCGGGGACTCTGGGGTCTGATTCCTTTTCATTGACCTCTTTCTCTTTTTTCTCTCGACGGAAGGAGAGTTCTCGGCCGCATATCTCGCGCTCAACATGTGAGACGACGGAATGACCGCGGCTTCGTCCTCGGGCGAGGAAAGAATCGGAATGACTGATTCTTTCGCCATCTCGGGCCAACTGTTCATACTTCACTGCGATGAGAAAGTCAACTTATTTGTGTTGGAGTAAAGCTCTGCGGGAGAGTGAGTCTCGCGGTGCGATGAGGTTGCCTGGGTGTTGTGAAATTTGTGTCCCCGAAGGAATAGTGAAAAAGCAAGGCTGTCAGAGAGACTTGGTGTCAGGAAGAGAAAAATTTGACAGTGATCGCTGAGGGATCATGGAATATTGGTACCTATCCCGTCAAGCGATCTGAGAAGAAGCGCGGAATGCCGTAGTTGTGTGAAGTGACGAAGGGGCAAGAAGGAGCAGCTAATGAGAAATTGAGGAGGGTAAGGATGAAAAACCTTTGGTAAGAAAAGCGCTGCAAGAGACCCTTTGAA